ATGTACAACTAGAAATTCTGGTTTGTCTGTGAAATCGGTGAATGGCTTTTTTTGCAGGTTTTTTTTTTGAGAATCATCATGTAAAAGCTGTTTAGAGCTGCACATGTGTTAAACTGTCAGCAGCAGGTACACTGAGGTCATCGTCTGTGTTGCTCTGCAGCAGCAGCAGCAGCAGAGAAGTGAAACGACGAGTCTGGTGGCTGTTAAAAAGCGCTGAGTGCATGAGGAGAGAGTCAGATTAGATTTGGGTTAGTGTGCAGGGCGGAGCAGCAGGATAATCCCATCATTGTTCAGCCTCCTCTCAGTCGGGATGACCTTCACCGACAGGACATCAGTAGCTGCAGCCGCTTACTGTTAACGGCTGCAGCAGCAGAGAGCCTCAGACTGTCCAGTCAAACTGCAATTATCAGGAACTGAGCTGCATCTGCATCTCACACATTGTCCTACAGGAAACTATAATTAATCACTCCGTGTCCTCTGCACCGATGGAATTCAGAGTTACAGTTCAGTAAGCAGCAATAGATTTGTAACGGTCAACCCAACAGGTTTCCAATCTGACGCAACAATGACAACAATTATTTATGAGCTCTTAAAATAGAAGGTTTTTTTTTTCTGCATAGTGGGATATTTGGCAGCTTCCAAAGAGGCTTTAACCTGCACCAAAATGATCACAACTGAGAATACAAGTCCAGCTTTTATTGTTTGGGGATTCCTTTACTCAAACATATTAGACATTGTTGTTTACTAAATGTTTAGTAATAACAGGAAAACGCAGAGATTCTGTTAGATTTATTACCTCTACTGTCCGCTGACTGATCACTCTGACCGTCCTGCATAGTCAACCCCCTAAAGGTCCAACGTATGCCTCTAAATAATATTTCTGCTAAACTAATTATTGGCCTGCAAACTGTAAACTACATGCATGTAGGTCTTTTTGTGCTGTACATTTATTTTTATTTTATTTTAAAACTCCTCCAAACTTGTAAATGCTAAAAAAAACTTCACAAATAAAATTCTGAAAAATAAATATTCGAAAAAGTATGGTAAAAATATGTTAAAGTCTGATGCACACAGAAGAATTTTTAAATGTAAGCGACAAACTCATGATTCTTATTAAAATGTACGAAAAAAAGAGAATGTGTTGGGTGTTAGGTTTGATATTATATCAACTATAACTGAGTGTGTTGCTCACGTCAAAGAAAAATATGCCAAAACGTAAGGAAAATCTTATTATGAGTGCTAATCATTAAAAAAAATTAATAATGACTAAAAATGATGCTTAAAAAATAAGCTGTAAATATACTATTCCAAATATAGCAAGTGTTTTTGCAGTGGAATGTGTTTTTTTGTGCATCCAATGCTGATTTGTACAGAACACAAAGTGATGCTAAATCCTGATTATTTAACGGCTTTAATAGAACAGGTTGTTTTTAGGACTTTTTCCTCTTCACACGCGAGTTGGAAAAAAGCAGCCGGTGCCAAAATCTTGTAGCCCGCAGTAGTTCCTCAGAAGTGTCTTCCCAGATTCACTTTCTAGGAACGAGCAACAAACAGGCAGTTAAATAAGGAAACAGAGGTTAGCCTGGTTCAGACTCCGCTAAGAGGCTTGGCTTTACAAACCCAGTGAATGAAGACCGTCCTCCAACCTTTGAGCAAATCGACAGTTGTAGGATTAGAAGTCTGAGGTTGATGGTGGCAGGAGAGCAGTGAGGATTACAAAGAGCTGCAGAGCAACTTAACGACCCCGACACCACTAAAACCACACGGTCAGAGATTCATTTTTACTGGTTTCACCAGCTGTCGCACTTCAACTCTCACTCACAGATTACTGGAAAGCCTACAGAGACTTTCCCTGCACAATATCACAGAAAGAGACTCAGATTTACCAAAATTAGACACAAAAGGACCATAAATAGATGAAAAATTAACAAAATGAAATGCAGAGACGAGTCAGACTAGTACACAGAGAAGCAATATGACCGTAAAGAGACACTGAAAGATCAGGAAGAGATGCTAAATTAGATGTAAAAAGACCCCAAAGAGATGTCAAACTATGTAAATGAGGCATAAAGCAATAAAAGGGCAATAAAAAGATGTAAGACAAAGGCAAAGAGGTGTAAAATTAAGGAATTGAGAAATAAAACAGCAAAATTGAGACACATAAATACCAGAAACATACTCACAGTAGCTCAAATGAGGCACAAGACGACTACAGTTGGACGCAAAAATACTACAGACTAAAAACGACTACGAAGAGATGGAAAATGACCACAATAAGGCACAAAACAACCACAAAAAGATGTCAAATGACCAAAAAATGTACAAAATGACCAGAAACAGGTTAAAAGTAACCAAAATGAGGCAGACTACGGCCAAAGTTGGACACGAAAATACAACAGAGACTAAAAACAACCGCAAAAAGATGGAAAATGACCAAAATTAGACACAAATGACCACAAAAAGATGTGCAGTGACCAAAATAAGACACAAAATGACTATAAAAAGATGTAAAATAACTGAAATTAAAAACACAATAACTGTGAAGACACATAAAATGACCAAAATGAGACAAAAATAAATACCAGAAATAGATGCAAGATAGATGCAAGAGAGAAATGTCACTAAATGACCACAAAGATGTACAAAACGAGACACACAATGACCATTAAGGGATATAAAACTACCAAAATGAGACTTAAAAAGAGCAGTGAGATGCAAAAATGACAAAACTGTGAGAAGAGATGCTGAATGAGCCACAGGCAAAGGATGCCAGTGTTCAGCTCGGTTCAGACATCCATGTTCCTCAAAGGATAAACCCTAACGCAGGATGAGTTGGTCCCTTTAATACAAATAAATAAAAATGTTTATCATTTATTTACTGCAAAAAGTAAGAGAACACAACAGATGATGTAATCTGGTCTTTAAATAAACCTGACTGTTGGACCGAGCAGGACTGAAAACATCTCCAGCAGCAGCAGCAGCTTAAAAACAACCTTTGTTTCCTCCAGTATCATTAGTTTCTCTCTGGATTATCCCCTCCGCCGCTAGCTGCTGCTGCGATAAACCGGCGTTTCTGTGAGCGGTCCGGTGGCCGTGGCCCGCCCTCATTCCTGGGGGCCCCTTTCACTGTCAGATAATTGCTGCTGCCTTGTGGGAGAAGAGGAAGTGCCAAAGAGGACAAACAAAAGCAAATTAGCGGATGCAAATCGCTGCCTGAGTGAAAGCGCTCAATCTATGGTTTCAATAGGCTTGCGCAATAACAGTTGGCCAGAATCCAGGCCTTGTTTACAAAAAAAGAAAGAAAAATCATCCATTCATGACTCATTTACTGAGTAAAACTAACTGTTTTTCACCAGCAGTGTTTGGTAAACCTGCTTGATTTAGGCGAGGGTTAATAAATAAAGCTGTGAGTGATTCACATGCAGCAATAAGAAGAAACCTTCCCGTAAAAAAACACACAAAGCGTCCATTCATGACTGTGACATGACTCATATTCTG